GAGGGAGCCATTTCCGAGTCTCTTCACGACACGTGGTTCCGGCTCCCTGATGAGCCGGAAGTCATTGTTACCCGTACCGGGTCCCGCCCCGGGGACTCACTCTCGGACCTTGTCTTCTCCTTTCTCTTTGCAAAGGTACTACAACAGGTTCGACAGGCCCTAATACAGGCTGAGCTGCTCGCGTACATACCCTGGAGCCAGAGCATGCAATGTAACATTCAGGTCGAGAACACACGCCCAGAGCAAACAATTGGGTTGTCCGATGCAACCTGGATGGATGACCTCTCGATGTTCCTCATGAGCCCTGACGCCCCCTCGCTCATTGCTGCTCTCAATTTTGGAGCATCATCGCTCATTGATGCCTGCCTCCAGAGGGCACTTGTACCGAACCTTTCCAGAGGGAAGACAGAAGCTATAGTCCAACTTCACTCCAAGGGGGCCAAGGAGACACGCAGGCGCATCTTTGGCGAAGAGGAGGGTACCATCCCTCTGTCATGCCGCCTTTGGAAGGAGGCCAAGCTGAGGATAGTGCCTGTCTATCGTCACTTGGGCGGGTTCCTACAGCACAACGGGGGCCTAAGGCATGAAATCGCGTTTAGGTGCTCACAAGCATGGGAGGCCTTCAATAGGCGCAGGCGCAAGGTCTTTCAGTCACCTCTCGTGTCGGCCGCCGACAAAGCGTCGCTGTTTGACAGTCTGATTTCCACTGTCATGTTTCACGGGTCCGGCACCTGGACACGTGTCGCACAAACACATATCGACACTCTCGATGCGGTTCTTCGACAGATGGCCTGCCAAATGTTGACCCCCAAATACTCCTGCGAAGAGGCATGGCACCTCGGCCTGTCACATGCGATTGCTCTTGCGGGCATCCCTCGAGCTGCCACGTACCTCCATGCCTTTCGACTGAGATACTTGCTCTCTTGTATCCGCCTTGATGTGCCGGAAATTTGGGCGCTTGCCCACTGGGAACAGGACTGGCTGAGACTAGTCCGGGTTTCCGTCGAATGGCTGTGGGAGCACACCAGAGCGGTCGACGACAGGAGATCATGGGCCCTCGTCTGGGACACTTGGGTGTTGGAGTGCCGCTCGTCCCCCCGAAGGTGGAAATCCAGAGTTCGCCGAGCAATTGCTCATGCACTGTCTGTCGAAAGGGGACAGGCGGAGTACGACAGACACCTCGGGTTGCTAGACAAGCAGCTCAGATCCCTCCATGCTCAGGTCCCTTTCGCCCACAGCACGGCCAGCAATGGTGTTGAGTTTTGTGCGCCATGCCAGATCATTTTCCAGGATTTGCGTTCTTGGTCGGTGCATGCCTTTAAAAGCCACGGTCGTACCGATGAAGTCCGCTCATTGGTCTCTGGCACACAGTGCCCACACTGTCTCAGACACTATGCGACCAACATCCGACTCTGCAGACACGTGAGGCACTCCCGTGCCTGCCGGCAAACCCTCCTGAGTCAAGCACAGCGGGCATCCCCACAACCTGGTGTGGGTAGCCGCGGAGCCCCGAAGGAGCATTTGTTTTGTACGCCCACCTTGCAAGCTGCGGGCCCTACCCAGCCCTGTCTTGAATTCTTTATTGCTGACGAGATGGAACGCCCGTCCGCGGAGGTACTGGATTGCTTGCTCCACCTGGATTTTGATGGACAAGCCTCCACCATCGGCGATGCTGAGTTCTGGGAACGCCTCCGACTCTCTTTCTCGTCGGTCTGCCTCCCTGTTGACAGAATCCGGCTCACTCTTACGGCCTGGGAGGATGGAATTCGACAGGGTAACTACACATATACCAGCGCGGTTCGCGACAGAATCGACTCTGCCGTTGAATGGTTGCGTTCCGTGGACCTTGTCGACTGGCTGATACGGGAACCTAAGGCACAGAAGACCAAGGGAGATGTTTTTCGCCAGAGTTCTGCGTCGCTCTCCTCCCTTGTTTTGCACACGGTCCATCTCCCCGTGCCGGCCCAATGGACTCAAGACCATGCGCTGATAGTAGTCGGTGATGCCGCCGACTCTCCAGCCGCTCAAGGCCTTCTCAAGTCTCCATTGAGCTTCCCACACAGCGAGTCTCTGCTGAGACTTGAACAGGGTCTGGACTTGGATTTTCTGACGACACAGGACGCAGAATGTGGGTTCTGCCTTAGCACTGTTGGGCTACGTCAGGCTTCAGACATTGCACGGTGCCCAGCATCTAGCAGAGTCCGAGACTCCTTGTCCTTACGCCTTGCGTTGGAGATCGTGAGGTTGGCATTACGGCTTTGGTCCACTGGGGCTCGGGCATGCCTCACCGTGCCACGTGCATGTGGACTTGATGTAGACACTTTGTCTAAGCTCACAGACATCCGGACTGTTGAGCGTGGCGGGTGCGTCACCCTGTGGGTAGGACGGGGCGACGACCTGGCCACTTTGTTTCACCCTTTAATTAAGTGACTTGCTCAAAGGGGCTGCGTCAAACTCGACCCTACGCCCGAAACAGTGGAAACAGTGGATATATATGTATATACATACGCATATATATATATATATATACACACACACACTCACACCCCGGGGTGTGCGCAAAAGTACGCCCCCATGCAGTATGCCCGTGCCACGGTTTAGTGTGACATGGGATAGCCGGTAATTAGTGCTGGTGAGGTGCATCATTTCTCGCATGGGGTCGGAGAGAGCCAACATTTCCAAGACTGATAGATAAAATCTATGCTTCCATCGTGCGCAGACGAGCGCAAGACGAGGCGTGAACCGTTGTGGCGAAGCTTTTCCATGGCTTTGCCTTGCAGGTACAAGCGGATACGGATCAACCAATACAGCTTCCCAGACTCCGTGCGGGTTTCTCCACAGGTGAAGGACTGCGTTCCAGCATGTGTTTCAGCCTGAGCTCATACGGCTGTCGTTCGAGAGGGTGATGTATCATGCGATCCTGTGCTTGGCGCAAAGCTCAGGAAGCACGTTCCGACTATTTTTGTAGACCACCATGGTCAATAAGTAGGTCATGTCTGAAGAATAGCAGCATTATAAGACAAGAACCTCGGTCGGTGTAGGTGCAGGGCCCAAGTCGGTTAGGCATGCCGCGATGCAAAGCAGTGATGGTGCTCCGGTCAACGCTTTTCGCCTTGAGTGCCCGCAGGCGGAGGCCCCACAGACTGCAGACGATGCAAATTTTTCTGCTTTCGCGTATCCAGCTGATCCCCGCCGTTTGGAACGGTCTATGCTATTGCGAGTCTCGCCTTTCTGCATTCCTTCTTGTCATTGTACCCACGGGTTACATTTGCACACCAACCTCATAAGCTTGCGACGGGTTTCATCCAAAGTCCGTTTGACATCCGCTCGCACTGGAGTGCCTCTGAATCCTAATGCGCAGCATCACGACCGGGAGGCTGAGGCGATCAACAGCGTGAGCGTGGGCGCGTGAGAGTAGGCTGTAGTTCTTGAGGGCTGAAGCGCGACCAGTGAATAAGATTAGCTTCATGCCCCCTGAGTGAGAGCGCAATCCGACAGTTGTCTACAGATTTTTGTTTCTTCAGGTCCAACTTTCGGTCCGCCTGCGGAAATCTTTTACAGTTGCTTGTCGCAAGCGTTTCTTGAAACCCTTTTGCCAAGCCTTGCTTGGACTTGGGTCTAACACAGCCACCAGGAAACTCCGTGGTCAATCCGGTGTTTCGTGAGACAGGACATACAGGTTGCAGTTAACTTCGCGCGATACAGCTTTGCTGTTGTTCCTTACGTGTCCGCTGTGAAGCTACACAGTCTGTCCGTGTCCTTTGTGCCACAGGTTTGGGGCAGCAAAATACAGAAGTTCACCGTACGTAACATGATAGTCATAACACTGACGATCATAATGTTGATTATGATGATAGTACTAAGTAGTACAGAACGGACTCCAGAAGCAAGCGTATGGTTGTGGCAGAGCTGCCAAGGTCGCTAGCTGCTGAAAGCTCAGCTGGTGACTAGATACTCTAATCAACCTTGCTTCCAAAACCGCACATGCCAGTGTCGCAAGGCAATATGTCGGATGTTCGGAATGTTTGCCATGATAGAGGGGTCCCGACCCGTGCAGCACTTCGTGTTGCATTTTAACGGTTTCCAGATGCCATACGCTTGGCTTGTGTCCTCTCTGTTTTCAGGAGCTGATAGGTCGCATTTTGCAGACCGACCCCGGGCCTGCAGCTCAGCAAACTGTAAAGAAGCCAGGCCTAGCCTAGCGGCCTAGCAAGCCTTGTGGTCAGTGCCAGGAAGAGGCCAAGCCTCGAAGAGATTCTGGTCATATCCTTAGCCGAAATGCCAAGGTGCTGCGTTCTCATACGCACATGGGTCATGTGGTCTTCTTGTATCTTTTTGTTCTCATTGTGCTTGTTTGCTTCTAGCATCTCTCTGGTTTGATGCACTGAACTTGCTCGTCGTAGTGTCTGAAGATTCGGAGAAGCAGTAGTGCAGTCACTGCAGTAATATTGGTGAACGGCCGAGGTGGGATATGGTAGCACACACTGCGTAAGACGCAAGCTCTGGGAAGCTTTGTCGCTTCTTTGCGGACTACAACGGTACCTGGATTTACCTCCTGGTACCGATGAAGAAAAGAGTAGGGAAAAGCTTTCTCGTCGTGGGCTGCGTTGCTGTTGTCTCTGTAAGCAGCAGGATGGCTTACCTGTGATCGGGTTACCTGAGCACTGCGTTTGGCAACCAAGAACTCCTCCTGGTTTCGTTCTAGCAGGATGCCACCGCGCGGGTCTTGGAATTGCCGAAGGAGCTGTGCATGATTTGCAGCGTTGTCAGGCTGATGCCGGACAGCGTTAGCCATTGCTCGACTTCGCCGCGGGTGCAGGCTTCATTTGATCATTCACGTCATTTCAGAGCCATTCTCGAAAATGGCAAGTAGGTCGTTCTTTTCACACAGCTGATGTCTAGAGTCTAGATTTTGTTTGTGCTCGAGCACCCTCGCAGCTGCCTAGCTGCTGTGACAGGCAGGAGGTTCACACTTCGCTGGCAGGGTCCTTGGACACTGAGGGTAAGCGTGCATGGCCGGGACACTGACGCGCATCAGCCAAAATGGCTCTGGAGGGCTGACCCCTACATCTGCTCGCCGTCCTGCGCCACGGCCTAAGCTTCTCGGCATGTTCTGTCAGATTCTGCTAGAACATAACCTCGAATGCATCATAATGCGTCCGGATTCTACATTCTAGAGTTTGTCCTGATTGGTCATGCAGATACGCCCAGTGGAGAATCAAGGGACTGATCTTGACACCGCAAGGGTTTACAGAGGTGCGTAACTGGCTCGGAAGTGGTAACGGTTTATGGTGCGGGCAAGCCGGAATCGAACATGTGGTTCTACGTAGCGCAGGCAAAGAGAGTGGCGAGTCCGAACCCATCAGGCTGTCATTCCGTTTGCAAATGAACCATCTCTGCAGTCGTGTTGACAGACCAAGGCTTTCACCCTTGGCCAGCGCTGTGCCAAACACGCCTGGTAGAAGCCAGCAAGGTGGCATAAGTATCAGTCAGGGCAATCAGCCAGTCGCTGGCGGAGTTCATGGCAAGACCTCATCTGCGTGGAATGCTGTCAAGTGGCCTTTGCAAGAGCAGGGGGTTTGGAATTTTCTGTCCTTGGGTGCTTTGAAACTGCAGGCAGACCGCCGTTAGCAGCTCGTGGCAACAAGGCAAAGACGAGCTCTGCCTTGCACAGATGGCTCCACGGACTGCCCGGCGGTGAAAAGGAGAACATTGCCCCCAATTGCGTGCATGGCGACACCAAAGACAATGGCTTTGCTGGTTTCGTGTGCTTGCCTGAGCATGCTGTTAAGTTCATCTCAGAACCTTACTGCTTTGTCGTTCTGTCGCATGTTGGTTGCACTTGTGGTTTGAAGCTTTGAGGCCGACGCTGATGTGTGGCTGCAGCGCCTTTGCCTCGAACAAGACCTTATCTTCTGCCAGGCGACCAGTTTGTAAGTGAATCCAAGTCTGACTTGATTCGGAGCCGTCCTTGATGCCCTTAGGGGGGTAGATGGCAGGGCTTGAAAACTATGGCTCTTCGATCCCTGCTAAGGTTGCCGTACTTGCCGCTGTTTCTTTTAAGACTTGCGGCATTTTCACAACCAGGATCAAACAGAAACGAGCAAAAGGGTAGTAGAACAACCCGTGTACCATGCACGATTGAAGCGTGTCTGCGTATGTGGCTGCTTTAAAAATGCTTATGCAACACAAGATGTGCGTTAAGTGTTGCATCTTCTCCAAAGGCAGTAGTCGATCTTCATTCGGAAGATTGTGCTATGAGTGCAAGACCCCGCTCGTTGCTTGGCGAGAGATAATGAAGGAGCTCTCGTACTTTAGATGCTGCATAAGCTACAGCTGCTGTACTTGCGACTGCAAAGTGAAGTAGCTCTCTTTTTCCTCCCATGATTGCACAGTGCGGTCTTGTAGTCTTCTCCATACTGCGAGGCAGAGGAGGTTTTTCCGTTAACAGCTTCCTCGTTTCTGAGTAAGAGACAAAAGAACTGTGCGAATTGTCTTTGCATCGCGTAGCCCACATGGAACGTAGCTGTAGATGTACTTGAGTTGTGTATGCTGCTGTTGCTGTATTGTGCTGGAACGTAGACAAAAGTGTACGTTGTTTTTCAGAGCATGAAAAGACTTACCTTGTTTTCCAATTCGCAACAGCTTTACAGGCGACACAGGCTTTCTACCTTTGTTATTAGGCTATCAGGACAACTCTAAGACTGGGCTCTATGTCCCGCTTTCATTCATGAAAGCGTCTTGTTTCATTTCTTGCTAGTAGTTCAGCATGAAGTTGGCCGAGCTTTCCCGCAGCATAAAGAGATCTGAGGTGATTCGCTATTCTCTGTGAGGGGAAAGAAGACTTACCAATACGTTTTATTGAAAGTAGGAGAATTTCTTCTCAGTAAGATCTGTATGTAAAACTGTATTGCGGGCTCTTCTCCCGAAGCGGAAGCAAACACAGACTGGACATATTCCTTGCGTGGGTAGGAAGGGCTTATCTTTTCTATTACTGACAGATTGTAGCAGGTGTAGTACCGTAGTTCAAGGCAGTGATGAGGGATGAAGGAGCCTCGTAAGGCCTCTCCGTCCATGATGAACGAGGATTTCTCAATGAGAGAAGCGTTCTCTTCTTTCTTATTCAGCAAAGCACTAATTTTCCAGAATCTGAAGCAAGGGAGCTTTCTGCTTCACTTTTTGGTTGAGAGGGGCTTTGTTGGTCTGAGCACTGTTGAGAAGCAAATCAATGTGTATATTTATACACATATGTATATACGCATATGTAGAGATACATACATATACACATACATGTACATATACATGTATCTACATATATATATATATATAATACATGCGCAGTCATACATGCATTCTTTGTGTGACTCTCTCTCTCTCCCGCTCTTTCTGGGTCCTTCTTGATCTCGATGGGGGCCGCTGGCAACCATGAATCCCTGAATCTGACCTGCATGCAATCGCAGGCTTGGCGACAGCGCCAGGCAAGGGAGTCTGCTGGCTTCTGCGTTCGTGTAACGCTGAATAGAGCGAAATCTGGCCACTCATTGGTGCAGAATGCAGAAAAGTCGACATGAGAAGTGGTTTGGCACAATGCTTGTGACAAAGTACTTCTGCCACAGAGCTGCGATGGTCCAGCATCTTTGCACATGGACCTCCAGAGATGGCCAAGGCTTACGTGATGCTCGGCCTTCGCCCAGCACCTGTACGTGTCAGTACATACCTGGTTGATACAGGACAAACTATGGACAAGCCATGATTGAACCTTGCTATGCTTCGCGGACGCGCCTAGGACATCTTTGTAAAGGGCTGGAGCCCGGCACTTCCACTTCTCGGTGACGGGTGAGAAATGATAGAGAATTTTTTTCAGAACAATTACGCCATGCGCATGCCTAAAATCGTGTCGAGCCTGCCCCTCAGCCCAACATTCCATCAGTGGGGTGGGGACTGCTCCTGTATCATCTCTCCCTTCTTTGTTTTGATCCGCATTCGGTTCATGTGATCTTCTACTGTTTCCGTAAATGGATCTGTTTGTGTCCATGACATCTGCTTGAAGCCTTGTGGGTGTGGTGTGTTTGGCTGAACACTTGGACTCCATGTTTGAGGGTAGCGCACACCCCTTGTTCCGCAATCACTTCACTTCGATTGACATGCCATCGTATATCAGCGACAGTCTGTTGCGCAGACGTTGAAAGTTTCGCGCAGGATGTTTTGCTCTCAAGATCCACTAAAGGATGCTACTCCAAAGCTATTCTTTGCCGATAGATATTCAATTGGTGGTAGCATCCGCAGCACGTGATTTTCCTATGCGGCACAGGTTCTGTGAGGGTGCCAAAGTATCGGCACTGCCACGATCTGTCTACAAAATCCACACTATGACGTAACTCATGTAGTGAAGGAAATACTGGAACTGAAAGCGAGGGTGACAACGGTATGCAAATTCGACCACAGACTCGCTGACCAAAGCGGAAAGCCTTTTGGAGGCCTGGCGACAAGTGTTGAGACAGATCCGTGGCCATACTTGCAAGCACTAAACACACGTCAGAGAAAGACGTGTCAGGAATTCATACTTGTCGTGCCGCAAATTTCCTGGCCAGGATGCAGCAGAAAGATACATGCACTTCGATTCAGATTTCGTCTTGTGCTGGGAAAATACCTGCTCTGTGAGGATCCTCGATAGCCCCACAGCTACAGCTTTGGGTGTTCCAGGCCAGACGTGCCAAGATGCATGCAGACCACAGAGCAACTGTAGTAGAGTTGAAGGACATGCCCGCTGCCCCTGATCCTCAACTGGCAGGTGCAGGTGAGCTGGACTTTGGCAGCTGCAGTGCCAGGTGCATGCAAAAGGGCTTTCTAGTAGTCACCGGGAAGGCGTGCAAATATTTTTTTGGGAGGCTTTTGGGGTCAATTCTGAAGTTCATGCTAAGGCAGCCATTTGCTTGCGAATGTGCTGGGGTACAGCAGGGGCGGGTCAATGCTTCCCACGGCAGTAAGGCCTAGCGGCATAGCGGGAAGGAGTCATACATAATAAGTTGGGCAGACAACATGCAGACTAGGATCGAGTCTTTCTGGTCATTTGGCAGGGTTTCCTGACCTTCGCTGCCGCGTATAATTTTAACGCTACGCCGCCCGCCTCGGCCTGACTGTAGCGGCAGCATGTGTCTCTGACTGAGTCCGCCGCCCCAGAATGGCCCAAGTCGTCGCTGGTCTGACATGTATGTGGCCATCGCAGCGGCGGTGGCAGCAGCAGCAGCAGCAGCATGAGCAGGAGCAGGAGCAGGAGCAGGAGCAGGAGCAGGAGCAGTAGCAGTAGCAGTAGCAGTAGCAGGAGCCGTAGCAGTAGCAGTAGCAGTAGCAGTAGCAGTAGCAGTAGCAGTAGCAGTAGTAGTAGTAGTAGTAGTAGTAGTAAGTAGTAATGATTATTGATATTAAGAACAATAGTTGTAACGATAATAACAAGAGTTA